ATGTTAACGAGATGTGAAGCTTGCCTGCAAGCACAAGGAAGTCACTTTGAACATCTTTTGTGATTTAAGGTAAGAAAATTAATGTAATAACGTGTTAGTGACGAGAAATATTCGTAGTTCGCTGTTACTAGCGGCACTGAAACTGATTCGCCTGTGACTCACGGGAATAACACGCGCCAGCCTGCCGACGTCAACAGTGCACTCGGCCGAGCACGCAATGCAAGCAAGGCCGTTACAGCATAAATTGTAGACCCGGTATAATGGTATCTATGTGTGCATCTGGTTTAATGTTTGGTAATTTGGCATGTCACCCACATGGTACTCAATGAGTTTCATTTGGTTCTTAGAATGAATGGTGAACGTTTTCCTAAACACCATTAAAAATTGTGTTATGTGCAGTGTATTTTCTTGGAGACAGAAACCAGATTATTAAATATTATTTAGATGGCATATATCCTTTTAAGGATTATGGCATGTTAATTACATTAAGTTTGTCTAAATAGGATTTGAAGTTCTCATGGCAGTATGAATGAAGACGGCTGTCTTGTGGGTTGTAGCGCCATGTAGTCTTGTAGAAGTTTACCAATGTTTCGGAGGTCATTGCTGATGATGGAGGCAGCAAAGACATCTGAAGTGTTGGTAAAGGTAAACTACCAGACTGCATGGTACTACATGTTTAAATAGATGTGTCGTGAAGTTCCTTGTAACAGATGCATACTCAAGTTTGGCTGCACAAGGGTGTTATGCAAAAGCAAATGGCTATCAGCAGTAATTATATTGGTGTTGCTGATTATGATGATAATCTAGAAGTTGAAGTTAGGGCACTGAAGAATAGTCTGTTTCACCTTCATTGTTCGTATTGTGTAATACATGTCTGTAGATGTTCCACATACTACAGTAACATTAATTACAAAAAAAAAGCCAAAAAAGGAGATTCAATTAAATATTTGTTTTACTAATCACTGAATTTTTATGTTAACTTACCAAAAAAATAGTTTCCCTTTTTCAGCATATGTAATGAAATTTCACTCTAACAAAATTATACTACAGTGAAAACAGATCACATTAAACAATATAACCAGCCATCTACTTTTACCAGTGCATGAATTATTTACTGTCTCTCAGTACTGAATAGAGCTATTTTGTTTCTGTTTTCCTTTTTTCCTTTTTTGTTCCATTCCTCTCTTATATCATATATTTGTTTTAATTAGTACAGTTCATTTGCAATTAGAAACTCTTTATTGTCGAGTGGTTAGCATTCGTGTTTCATATTTGGGAGGTCCCAGGTTAAAATCTTAACCTGGAAATTTGTTATCCTGACTCAGAGCTTTCATGGATTTCCTCAGTTCCTCCAGGCAAATGCTAGGATAGTAACTTAAATAAGGCCTTTTCCTTCCATGTCTTCCAATTCATTATTCATGAATCATCCTATCATTTGACACTATATTGTTTGTGCTACTAACAGCATGGTGAAATACAGTACAAATAACATAAAAATGCATTATGAATCCATGGAAAATTAGTTTTCATTTAATAAAATACTTTTAAGTAGTACATCCTTTTTCAAAATGAAGAATTACTGTAAAACAATGAAAATAACATGAATTGGGCTGCATAGTTAAAGCATTAGCTGGATACCATTGGCTTGAGCTATATTTGAATTCAAGAGGTGGTGAATTGGGTAAATACACTGAACATTGTTGTTGTTCTGGGTAGTGATGCCATGTGGACGTATAGGTAGATCCCAGTGTTTCAACAAAATATACTATTTGCATCTTCAGCCCAAAACCAGTAGAACATCATTGTCATCACTGTTAGAACCTTAAACCTCAGAAGTGTAGTGAAGATTGTAAGTCAGAAATGTAATGCAAAATATGTTTACAGTGTGAATGGGAAGAATACATTACATTTTTACATACTAAGAAAGTTAGAATGCAGACAGAAATTATATAATATTACATGTAACTGGAATTGCAAATAAAGATGTATGTGAACTTGTTGGATTTGAGATTAAAAGATTCTGAGAGTTAAAACCAAAAAATGAAAGTCTTGTGTAGCAAGGAAGAAGTTCCAGTATACAAAATTTTAAAATGTTCTGAGTCTATCCTGCATTGTGAAGCTTACATTTAGGATGAATAGGGACATTTTGATAATGAGACACTTATTTTTAATATTGCAACCAGAAAAAACTATCACTGAAGAAGACAGGAGAATTTTTGCTTAAAATATTTGAGAACATAATGACAGATAAGCTTTGGATAAAGAGTGTAAGGAATTAAGAGAAGAAGGTTAGAGGTTGTAATTATTTTATATGTTTACATAATTTATAATGTGAAATTGCTAATGGTATTGGTAGCTAGCGTAAAGATTAGATGAACATTTATCGTCATCTATTATTGTGTATAGAAAGCAAATAAATAAATAAATACAATATAGGAATAATCTCATTTGGTGAAATATTTATGCAGTTTTCTAGTTACAATTTGGAGAACTGTGACAAGAACCAAAGCAGAGAGCTGCAGCTTTTGTTGTTCTGACTACCTGTGAACAGAGGTGGTAGGGTTTACTCTGAATTACAGTACATGTTTTCCAAATGTGGTCTTTGTAATTTTACATATCTCATTGTTTCTTGTATTCGTTCATTCCTGTTATATATCTGTTTCACTGTTATATATGTATCTGTTGCAATTATATGACAAGGTAGTAACTCTATCTGCCATTTTTTAAATAAAGGTCAAATGAATTCATGTTTTACATGTATTAACTATTGCAAAACTGTTTACACTGTAGTAGCTTTATTTTTAGTCATATTTTCTTACTTGTCAAATTAAAAAATAAATAAAAGTTGTAGATAATAGTGTAATTACAGTTTAATGTTGTGTTGCTAACGTTTTAGAATGAGATGTTTTCTGAGAAAAATGATAATGTTTGATTTGAGCTTTATGTGAAGTGATTGTATTTAATTGATATGAATCAAAACTAAATTTAGTTTATTGCTTTTACATAATAAACAATTTCATCAAAGTCTGTTCAGTAATTTAAGAGATATATTATGTAACAGAAGCAGATGGACAGCAGGCACACCCGTATTATATGGTTTCATTTTGTTTGCTTTGTTCAAAAAACCATAAAAAGACTTTATTATGGTGCTTGGTTGCAGTGTTGTTCAGAACAGTTTGGAATTACTGCATCCTGTATTCTTGTACGTACTGTGTAATCCATCCCTGCCACCGAATCTGTCTATGGCCTGCAAACAACAGATATGGATGCTACTACTTAAAACCACATTTTCATATGAAACAAAGGATATCCTGTTTGAAGTTTTATCTTGGCTTCCGGTAAGAAAATTAATTTTGTCAGAAATGTTGTTACATGATAGAAAGAAGTCTTCGTTAAAGCATCTTAATCAGTAACATTGTAATGTACTATAGTGATTATTTTGTGAGCACTTCATCACATATTTCTTCCCTATGCTACATTTCAGTTCTGTTGAATTATCGTCAGTATAGGCCTTGACATGTCATGCAGTTTACATGTTAGTTATAATTGTCACATTTATTTGCATATATGTTTTAAGAGATGTAATATTTTATATGTTTTAAAATAATTAGTATTGTGTATAATGCCTTACATGAGTCCAACACACATACAATATAATAATATATAGTGCCACCTAGGCAAAGTTACTTTTGTTGTTGTCAGGGTTGGTGATATCACTAGTATTGTAAGTGGTTACCAGTATTTCGGAGGAACACATTATCGCCATCTTGATCTCTGACTCTGAAGATGGAGGCTATAGAATCCTTCAAAATGTTGGTAATTACCTACAAGACTACATAGTGTCATTTCCTAAAGGACACAGTTGACATCTTCACCACCGTGAGAACACCAAATCACAAAAAAAATACTCTTTTTCACAAAATGTTGGTATCATGTCAGCTGTTGCAGTTGACTTGTCTTACTTTCCACATGCAGATTTTGTTGTTCTGCTGTCTGTGTACTTCTGTATGTTGTATACAGCTTGTGCCAATTATTAAACTAAACATTTTATTCCCTGTTTGTATAAATCGTATCATTTCAGGTTGAGTCTGAGGCAGAGACACTTAGAACAAGCCATATGTTTCTGATGCTGGTAGAACTGGCGTTGCAGAATGAAGACACACCTTTGTGTTCTATACTGGCTCCATTCATAACTGCACTGACCCATCGGCTGATATGCCATGGTCATGACCCTCGATCTTGCCTGTCAGCTCTTACTCGCCTTCTGGTCATAAGCCCTGAGACAAGTAGCTGCATTCTCATGCTTCTCTCCAAAACTGTTGGTTTATGTCCTGTAATCTATTTGAGGGATCTGATCGTCTTCTGTAAGTTTTTCTTCTTTTGTGATACTAATCTATTTTAAAGTTGTATAATGGCTTTACACATCTGACGTCCTTACCACCACCGTGTAGTGTGTGTTCTTGGATTACAGACATTAGGATCACTGCTGATTAACTGAATAAAGAATTATGGACAGCTGATAATGGGTGGTCTTTAAGCAATGATGAGTGCTGAGGTCTAGCTACTAGTGTGCCACCAGATTGCTAAAATTGGACGAATTTAAAATAAATGTTTCTCTGAGTATCACAAAAAATGGCATTCATCAACATTCCTTAGCATTGTGGTGTGATTGTTAGGGAAGGGGTGTTAATAATATTGCATTTTGCACAACCTTTCTTCTAGGCATGGATTTGTGATTGTTCTTCAGCTTGGTGGATGGGAATAGAATGGACAATCCTTAACTGTAAAAATTGTCCTGACTGTAAGAAGTGTTCTGTTACAAAGCTTCAATCCATTAGTACTAGGGGATTTAAATGACTTTAAATAGCCTGAAGATGGAGATAGAATTTTAATTTACAAGAAATATATCCATGGACTAAATTTACTATAAATTCTAAAATTTTAATGAAATTTCATTAGCAAATTTTATAATATCTGTAGATTATAAAGATAAGATTTATGTGACCTTACTAATACGGATTTATGTGTTACTCCTTGAAGCAGTCAGAACAGATGCAAACATCCATATTAACATAAGCACATCAGACACAATATAAATTCCATGCACTATACTTTCCAAGTGTACAGTGAAGATATGATTTGAACATACATCTGCATCTGATTTCATGAATTTGTTTATGTAATGGTTGATCACAAATACCATAGCGTTCACAAATTGTTGATTGAAAAATGGGCAGAAAATTTGTAAAATGTCATTTGTGACCTTTTCTACATCCTGTGGCCCAAATTTGTCACTAAGAAGTTTCACCCTTCTCCCATAATTTAGAATATTTTTTTCCATTTGAAATCTCTTTCTCTTCATTATTACATTTTATCACTCACTAATATGTCATTTAACGTGCAGCCATTCACAGAATTTCCATTATCTCACTGTCGGTATGTAATAACCTTTCATTCCAAATCACTGATATCTGAAGTTTCTGCCAGTTTTTGCTGTGACAGTGCAACTGATCTCTTTCTGTTATTGTTGGTCATTGTGTGAACACTGCTGAGCTAACAAGGAAACACAGTTGATCGAAATGCTCTAATTTGGCCCTGGTTTTACACTATGGCAATGAATATTCTGGGCGTGTGGCCAAAGTACTAAGTGTCAAACTCCACTGTTTCTTTGTAATACACAGTTTTATTTTTATGTTCTCTATTGTCAGTTCATAAGTCACAAAAGGAGACTGCGACAGCTCAGTTGGTAGCATGGTGTGGGTGAACTAGGTTCAGTTCCCAGTTAGATTATTTTAAATCACTAAGTCTATATTGCCTTTGGAGACAGTACAATTTTATTTACATTTAAAGTATTTGCATTTATTTATTTCCTCCTCCTTTCATTCACATTCGAGAATGAGAGGACAGTGTGAAATTTTGAAGTTATAAGTTAATATTTTACAACATCAAAGCTCTACACATTATCAAAATAGAAGGTATGCATGATATGCTTACAAACTAATATCACATTAAGTTTTCTGCAATTTAAAAATATATTAAGTTCCTTAATGCTATAGAATGTGTGTACAGCAAGTAGCCTTTGGTTAAATGTTCATGGTATCACAAATGTCAGTGTTTTGTTAATGCCTGAAGTGTCAATAGAAATATCTGAAGATTAAAATCTGGCATCTTTGATTTGTCACTACTTGAAAAATGCAGAATTGAAAGTCTTCACAGAACTGACCCTGTATGTTGAAGACTTTGGCACATAACAAAATGATTGTCTTAGGTCACCTGACTGACTTCTTACATGTGATTTACATATATTACAGTATCCTTGGTAGAAACATAATTTTGTTTCATATTTATACATATTCCTGCGTGTAGTTTATATTCAGTACATGTTGCAGGTGTAACGATTGTAGAAACGAAGATGTCTAATGCTATAGCTAACAGGATGTTTGTATGTGGACTACTACAGTGGTTAATGTATCCTTCTTATCTCACTGAAGAAGCACTGCAAACAACTACCAGTTTCCTTGCTCGGGTGAATAGCAGTTCTTCGTGGTCATCTTCCACAGGCCAGCTCTGTGCTAACAAACACTTCAACCTTTTACGGAATACTGACGGTCTAGTTGGTTCTGTCATAGAGATGTGCAGATTGGCTGAAACATGGCAGAGCAATCCAACAGTTATTCAGGATTGGATGCAAAGAATGATAGATGTACCCCAAGATATTAATGAACACCTGCAATTGTTTGTGTCGGCATTATTTATTCACAACTTTGATAATAATGAAGTAAGGCAAGGAAGTTTCAACTTGCTGCTGAAAATGGTTGAAAAGAATAACGATTTTTCTGCCGTCGTCGTGATCCTCATCCTGTACAAACTAGCAGAAGAGAAAGAACCCCTTCTGCAGCTGGAATTTTTAAGAGGACTAACCAAAATGGCTGTTCAAAAGGTGAGGCTTATTTTAAAAAAAAAGAAAATCTCAACCAGCTTTCAGTAACACTACCACTGAAGATGGCTGCCTTCTGGAATGCTCTGATGATGTAGGCATCAAGGACCTCTGAAATGTCGGTAAACTTATGCCAGACTATACAGTGCAACAACCCAGAAGACAACCATCTTCAGACTCACAAATCCTGTGTAATAGTACCATTATTCATAAGAGAAGTAGGCAGGTGTTGGGACAGTAAACATATCAGCTTAACCTATAAGTGACTTGCAGTACATAAACATATTATTAATGGTACTGGCGGAGTACTCTGCAATGTATAAAATACATGCATTAGTCACTCATCACCAGACGTGTATTATTTGTATGGCCTGGCCTGTTGTGTTGTGGATTCCTATAGTAGGTAGGTGAAGCAAGTAGCCTTGTCATTTAGCACTGTAATCAGTTAGTGGTAATTGTGATATGACACATTTGTTTACTGGATGGCAGGTCTTGTTAAAATGCTACCATTATTTCAGGAGTCTTTTTATACATTTTTCCCTGTAACATAATACTGTACTGTACAAAAATTCTAGAGATCTGATCAAACTATAGCTAACTCTTCACTTGTACTAGAAAAATGGTAGTACTTTTTGTTATATTGCAATGCAAGAACACAAAAAGCTTTATTATCAGTCAGACTTGGCTCCTTATCGATGGTCAGAGCCTTGCTTTTCTTCATGCCTGTTTCCTGCTCAGTAAATCTGTGAATATCCCTGTTGATTTTTGCACATTGTGGAAATCCTGTTTGACTTCCCACTGGCACTGGCCTCTTATCCAACAGTGTGCTATCTACTGTGAAACAACTGCATGACTATGCTCAGTTGATTTGACTTGGTCAGAGCCTTCCTTTTCCTCAGTAAATTTGTCGATGTCCGTGCTGATTTCTGCGTGTTCTTAAGCCCCCAGTTTGACTTCCCACCAACACTGGCCTCATCCCTAACAGTGTGTTTACTACTGTGAAATAAGAGCATGTGATGTATGATCTGAAGCTTTCATGGTTTTCTCTTACAACTACAGAAACATTGGTGTTTTCTTCATTAAGCCACCTTACATGGCTGGTAGCCCAAGAAGAATTCATTTTATAGATCATTTGACTTTGCTTGGTCACAGCCTTGCTTTTCCTCAGGCCTCTGTATGTCAAGTAAATTTGTGGACATCCCTGCTATGGAAGTCCCCGGTTTGACATGTCAGTGACACTGGTCTCATCTTCTTCTTACATGCTACTTCTACTTTATTGCCATCCACACTGCTATCTTGTAGAAATGCATCTGGGTCAGTGTTATCTCCTAACTCCATTTCTGTTAGTTCTTTCTGCTTTCTAGTTTATGTTTTGTTTTCATGGTAAGAGAAATATGTCTTGATATTTCTGAAGCTTGCTGTTCTCTATAGTTGAGGAACAATGTGACAATCCCTGTAACACCATACAGTACTATACCATATTATTAGAGGTTCAGTTTAACTGTAGTTAACATTTGACTTACAGAATGTGCAGGAGAAGCTAGAATAAAGGAAATACTCTTCATTTTAGAGCAACATAAGAATACAAAAGGCTATATTATTTAGATTTAATTTTAGGATAAAGCTTTATAAATTGTATGACATGACAGGTTATCCCTATTCTCACCAAGAGAGTGGATGGAATTGGTTACAAATTATTTATGAATAACTTTTTTATTCCTGACTTATTTGATCTGAGTAAAAAGAAAAATGTACTGTTGTTGCACTGACAGATCAAACTGCAAAGGCATGCCTTGAGACTTGGATTATATTTATTTATTTAGAGTTCATTTAATGACACATTCAGTATCCAGACTATATAGCATTGGACAGTGAGTAATGAATTGGAAAGGATTTGAAAGGAAGTGGTTGTGGCCTAATTTAAGGTACTGTGCTGGAATTTGCCTGGAGTGAGTAAAACCACATAAAACCTCAGTATAGCCAGTATCTGGGCTGAGATTTGAACCAGGACCTCCCAAATACAAAGCAGGAGAGTTAACCACTCATCTATGACATTTTGTAATTAGATTGCAAAATCTTAAACTATGGTAACTTACAAGTTAATGCTAGGGGTGACCTAACAGCATTATCTGGAAAGACAAATGTGCATGGCTACTGTGGAAGAAAAGAATTAACACGTGAGATATGTTGTGAGAGGGGCAAGATGGCAGATGGCTGTTCCATCTGTCATTATACATGGGAGTAGACTAGAAAATTTTTCTTCTGCCCTCTAGATCTGACATTACTCTACAGTTAGGTTCTCTTACATTATGTGGTGCTAAATGTACTCACAGATATTATAGACATTTCCTTGTTAGCAATATTTTTGAAGAGAATTGTCCTCTCAGCCCCATGTTGTAGATTTACAGCATGTAAAAGAACCTTACAAGCATGAAACGAGATGTTTTGTAAGCAAAATTCAGCGGCCATTTTTCACCCAAGTCTCTCCTGATTCACTACTAGATGGCTCTAGCAGTCAAATGAGGATTGTGCAGAGGCAGTGGGCTGGTCACTCATTGCTCACAAATGCACGCTTCAAGGACTAGGAAACCTCCGAAAAGGAGGCAGTGAAGACCCACAGCTGGGTTGTAGAGCCAAGGAAGAAGAAGAAGAATGTACTTCAATGACAACAATAATTTCTTGAATGGATTTTTTTTTGTGAGAAAATTAATTTTTCAGGCCTGGTGGTTTAAGAAGATATGTATGATTGTTTGCAAGAATGTGTGTCTTAATTAAAATGCCTGGAATTAAATAATTCCAGTGTGGGATACAGTGGCTACTTAAATTGAGTATGATAAGTGTTAAAGTTTTAAAAATCAGTTATTCATGTGGAATTATTCACAGTGCTGGCTGAAGTTTTCTGTGCATTTACTGAGCTTTTAGAGGCCAGTCTAAATTACTTCAAGAGCCACATCTGGGTTCATCATAGTTTCCTCATACTTGTTAAAATTTTTGGTATAAATATTTTAAATTAGTCGGTTCCAGGAATCTAAATATGATTTTATGTTGATGATTGTGCACTATAACTGATGTCATAGTACTGTGGTTGTTATGACATTTTAATTGAATGTTATCTGATGTCTGTTATTTAAAAATTAAAAAATATTACTATTAAACTTAATTTTTTATATAAAAGATGTTGGATTATGTCCACCTGAAAGCTTATATTAATGCTAATACACAGTTGTCAAAACACTTTAGAATGATGTTGGTACTGCATTTTCTTTGGTCACCAGACATTCATTCATGTGTAGGACCAAATGACCTCATCACAACCAGTATTTTGTATTTTTTGTTTAATGCACATCTGCAACACCCTGCCCATTTCTTTCGTTTAATTGACTTAACAACACTAAGCAAGAAATACAAATTATGAAGCTTCTCATTACATACTTTTCTACTGTTCAGTATCTATGAAACATAATTGAAATAATAGTTTTTTTAAATGTAGTAGAATATCATTACACCAACACCAATTTATGTCTAAAATTTGTCATCAAGTAAGCAGGTAAATTTAATTAGTTTCCTTTTGTAATTGAAATAAATATTTTCTTCTAATGTAAAGAAGTAGGAATAGTATGGGGATATATGTAGAAACAAGAATTTGGATTATGTATACTGTAATTAGGTATTGTCTTTACAGGAGAATGTAAACCTGATCCTACACACTCTTGAATCACTGAAAGGCAAGCGAAGCATGAAGACACTGCTTATTGATTTGTATGTACGACTCTGGAAAGTAGAATGCCGCTGTTATCCTTATCTGCAGAAACTACTCTTGGAAGATCCAATATATGGAAAAGACTGGAAGCTGGATATGGCTAGAGCCCTTGCCATTAAAGAAATCTGTGAAACCAGGTAATATTTAAGCTGTTCAATGCATCTGGATCTGAATATTTATATCCTGATTTGATAGAATTTACTTAATTCTCTGTTTCCAGTACTTTCAGTGTTAATTGTGGATTGGAATTATGGACTGAGTATAATTATTTTGTTACTAAACAGCAGCTATATTTTAGGCTTTTCTTTATAGGAATTATGAGATATTCAGGACATACACAACTGTATTCTCTGCAATGTTGTGTGTGAATATACATCTGTATGCAGATGTAATGGTATAATAAATATTTCTAGAAATGGGGAAGTCTTTTCCTTGATACTCATTCCATGGATTTGCCCATTTTTTCTTGTCTTTTATATACAGTTCACTTGTGATTTTATCAGGCAGGTTTCCATAGAAGTAATGCTCAAGACTAGTATTTGGGAAATATCCATTTCAGATCTGTGCAGGGTTACTGACTGTGCTGAGTTAAATTTCTTGAAGTTTGATCAAGCTCTCCAGTATAATACCTTGAAATAGCCCATTTATGCAGTAAAAGTAAAGTAAAGTTTGTCCTGCTACGTGCCATACAGGCACTTGGGGTGAGTGGAGGTATAGCTCCTCTCTTCCTTGACCTCGGCACTAGATGGGAGTGAGTGGTCAGCATCACGCCCCGGCCGGCTTTACCCCCGGGAAAGGACCCTGGTACCCATTGTAGAGGAGGCTGGGTGGGCCCCAGAGCCGGTCTGGATGCAGAAGCTAGAGGAAAAATCCTCTGCCCATTTATGCAGTATACAATCATAAATTATACATACAGGGCATATATAATTATCTTTACAAATTTACTTATGAATAAAACCTTTATGATAAGACATTGACACACTATTTGAATGTAATCTGCAAGAGAAATTCTCAAAGTTTCAGTGAGTTTGCAGCAGGTGATAGCATCTGTTTTCCACTGCATTGCATTTGTCTTTGTGAATCAGGTCAGTTGCCATGAATTTGCAGGATAAGGCACAGTATGTGGAGTGGCCTTTCAAAATGAAATTGGAAACAGAGGTCCAAAGACGTTTCAGAATGATGTCTCACAAGACACCACCATCAAAACCATCTGTATGTGCCTGGCACAGACAGTGTAAGGAGACCAGAAGTGTTTGGAACAAGAAAGGTACATGGCATCCATGTGTGTCTGGTGAAAATGTTGAAAGGGTATGCAGGTTCTTTGTCCACAGTCCACGTAAGTCAACGTGAGATGTAGCATGTGAGTTGCAAATGCCACTTTTGGCAGTTCATCGGGTGTTACAAAAATGTTTTGTGTCTGTATGCTTACATGTTGCAAGCAGTGCAAGCATTATGCCAGGTGATAGGGTAGCCTGCAAGGAATTTGTAGTGAATTTGAGAAACTGGATGAAGACGAATACCTGAGGAAGGTCATGTTCTCTGATGAGGCTACATTCCAAGTTTCAGGAAAGGTAAACAAACAGAACGTACACATTTGGGTATCGGAACACCCTCATGCTACAGGGAGACACATTAGAGACAGCCCCAAAGTTAATGTAATATGTGGTGTGGCCTGTTGCATTATCGTTTGATTGGACCCTTTCTTTGCTCAAGTGACTGAGACATCCAGCAGTTACCTGGATATGCTGGAAAACTTTGTCTATCCACAGTTACAAGAACTGCAGCCTGCCATGTTCTTCTAGCAAGATGGTGCACCACCACACTGGAGCTTGATTGTGCCTGCATCTCTTAATGAGCATTTCCCAAATAGCTGGATTGGCCATGCTGATCCCATCCTTGGCTGGCCAGATTACCGGATATCACATTCTGTGATGCTTTCCTATGGGGATACATAAAAAACTGTGTACCGAACTCCGGTGGCCAACATAACAATTTGAAGGACAGAATTGCACCTGCTGTTGCATCAGCTGATGTTGAAATGCTGCAGTGTACGTAGATGGAGCTTGAATATCACTTGGAAATTGTACGTGTGATAAATGGTGCCCAAGTTGAATGCATATATTGTTCAAAAGCAACTTTGAGACTTTCTCTCGCAGATGATGCACAAACAGTGTGTCTATGTCTTTTCTTAAAGGTTTTATTCACGAGTAAAGTTGTAAAAATAATTTATATACATTCTGTAGAATAAACTAATGAAAAGGAAAGATATTGCAGTGCATATAGGCATAAATATTTTTATTTTAATGTTATTAATATTAAACATGTATAAAAAGTTTTGTACTAAATTAAGTGGAATTCTTGTCACTACAACATGGCTTGTTCCCAGATTGAGGGTGTAGGAGATTACCTCTAGATATATAGTAACAGTTGCAGACAGCTAACGGATGGAGGTCCTCCAGCTTCATGTGTTTCCTAAGGCTCAGGATGGAGGTTCAGTGTTGTGAATGTGGTAAAGGCCTTCAGATTCCATAGAAGTAGAAATATTTTGAACAGCCAACTAGACTTTTAAAGAATTATCCTGAACTGTTGGTTACAGTGTATTTAGTTACAGATCTTATTGAACTCTATGTTTTATGCCGTGTTTTAGTTTTTTGTTAGCAGTTTTTGAGAAATTTCAAAGCCAGTTTGAGCTTTATGTATTATTTTGGGCTAATACAAACAAAAATAACATTCACTGGACAAGTTCTATTAAATTTGTTAAGATCCATAAAGCTTTGGAGGTAAAATTTAGGAAGAGAGATGAATGGACACACTTGTGATTTCCTGTCCATTTTATGCACTTCAAGTAAGAAACACATGACAAGGGCAGTAAAAAAATTATTTGTAACAGGTTATAGTGTTATACTACCGCATTGCTGAAAAAAAATTTTGACACTGGAGAGTAGAACATGAATGACTGAAAGTACATAGTGTAAGAGTCTATGCTGAATATTTGTCACTTAAATGAATTGAATTTTGTTATGATAACTAGATATTACTTTTTGGACAGCCCTCATATCTAGGATTATTTCTACCTGTTTGTGATCTTTCATACTATAATAGAAGGCATAACATATATTTCTGAAAACTGCTGTATATATTCTAGGTTCTGTGTGATTTCTTATTAGTATATACTCGGTAAGAATTTCATTTCAGTATGTTTAATTTTACAACTTCAGTAAAAGAAAGTTGCAATTAGCTATTAAACATCAAGGACAAAATTATTAGTATTTTTCTTTAAATCAATAGCTGTGGATTTTCATCTCATACATCCATTGAAAAATCTTCTAGTGGATTAACTGTAATAGACAATACAATTTAAATTCAGTGGATTTCATAAAACAGAACAATGATGAAACAAAAATATAAAGTGATTGACTGTTTATTAATTTTATCCAGGCCTGAACAGTATGGTCCAGAACTGGTTAAGCTGTTGTCTCAAATTCTGAATCAGTGTGGAAGTGAAACACATGAGTCTGCTTGTGCACTTGCCCTTGAGGGAATTATAGCTCTGTGCAATTCAGAGATTATCAATGTTGCCACTACATGGAGAGCCCTTGCACCAAAGTTATCGAGAGAGAAAAGGCCAGTTGTCATTAAAAGGTAATGTGGAGGATGCTGTCATGTATTATTCAAGTTAGGTTAATCTAGTGTAGTCTAGTCCAGTTCAGGTTAGTTTAAGTTAAATTAATTTAGGTTAGGTTATGTTATGGGAGGTCGGGTGAAGTTAGGTTTTCAAACTCTGAGGTAAACATCATTGATGAGTCAAAACGGGAGTTTCAAGTGGTGAGTTGTGATGGAATTAGAAAAGTGATGATTGACGTGTGTAACATGTATCTTTGTTTACATAGCATTATTAGGGAAGTACAATCAAGAATATTATAGTGGGCTTGATGTGTAGGATGGCTAAGGAGACAATAAATGCTTACATAACTTTTATGGAGTAATCTCTTGAAAACTGGTCACTTGGGAGATCAAGAAGGAGATGGAAGAATAACATTAAGGTGGATCTTAGGAAGATATGTTGTGAGGATGAAAGTTGGATGGAACAAGCTTATAATTTTTCCATTGAAGGCTTTGCTATTAACAATGTTGAATCTTAGGGTTCTGTTGTCAGAGAGTTTGTTAATGTATCTTGGTACCTTTTTGCACAGTCATAACTGAAATAATATTCACTTGAGCACAGTATGTTACTGATTTAAAGACTGAATGTCATTAAATCACTTTTTTATTGTTCACTTCATATATGTCAGTCTAAGAGCTGCTGATATAATTTCAGTTTGTGTAACTTCTTTGGCTGTGTTCTGAGCATGCAGTGTTCAGGAAAAGAATATGACACGCTGGTTTCAGAGGTTGTCACTAAGCTGTGGAGTTATGTAGTAACAAGTAAGGATGTGGAAGTCATTTCTGCTGCACTAAAGTAAGTAAATACTGGTACATCAAGTTTATATGTGTGCTTTCTCTTCCATGTCTGTTCTCTAACTTTTAATCATAAAACTCTAGATTATACAAGATAATGTTAGGTGAAGAAGTATTAAAAGATATGAAGAGCATATCCTAATATTTATGTGAATATTACAAAAGCACCGTCACAGTGGCTGCATGGTCTGAGGTGTGGGCCTTGTGCTGCTTGGTCACTGAGATCGTGGGTTCGAATCCCACTCAAGGCATGGATGTTTGTCCGCGTCTTTCTGTGTTGTGCTGTCCTGTGTACAGGTAGAGGCCTTGCGACAGGCCGATCACTTGTCCAAGGAGTCCTACCAACTGTGTATAGATCAAAGCCAACAAAACGTTGGGACCCGCAGATGCTCAGGCACTGAAGAACGGGTCGTATAAAATAAAAAATAAATATTATAAAAGCCTAAAAAAATTTAATGTTTGTGACTTTCTCTGCCATTTTTATGGACAGTTGATGCCACTCTAGTTGAGTTCATGTGCATAGTTTGCACAGTATCATGACTTTTTGAGTTCTATGAAATCATTTACTCTAGTTTACACTACCCACTGTTTTCATTTTACTTTGAGCATGTATTTTGTTATATTTTGTTACATATTTCATATTTTTGTATCAACCCTCATCATGTGGGAATAGCTGTGACTGGAATGTTGTTTATTAGACATTTTTTCCTATTGCAAAACAACAACTGAAGCAATCTTCCAAGATAATCGTGGGCTATTGCAGATAAAAATATCTGTTTACTCTTAAGATGACAACAAGGATAGTTCATCTGTAGTTAATATTACAATATAAAACTTGTATTCACAATTAAAAAGTAGTTAATTAATTTTGTCATATGGAGTTTACCATAAGAATGTGTGAGGGATATTTGACTCTTTATGAGGCTGTAATTTTAATGTTCGTCGATATAACCATAAATTCTTTGCATTTGAGTAAAATGGTGTAGAGGAATAACTGTGATAAGTAAAAAGTAAATATAAAATAATTTTTTAATTTTAGATTCCAATTATTTTGCTGAAGAGTAAAGAAAAGAATAAACTGACTAGTTGCACGTTTTAGAACCTAATTACTTTTAAGTCTTATAACGTATTTAAAAGCATTTTAACACTGCAACTTTTGCTGCCACAAGCTACTAATCATAACCTATTGCCATTTTTCCCTATGTAATGAACTTGTCAACCCATGTGCAGTTTATAGTAGGTAAACCTTGATTTCCATAGGTATTCTTGTAATTCTGCATTTCCTCTTTCATTCTTTTGTGATTGTATTTCTTGTTCATTGACTGTCACCAGTATAAGTGTTACATGAAGCCAGTAATTTGTGAAAACTGTATCTGTATTGTGTTAAAAGAGCTATAGGTTGTTAATTGAACCTAAGTAGCATTTCACTGGAAGGTTTGTATATTATTGCCTGTACATAATGAAGTAATCGGTGAATTCTGCATACAGCCTCTTATAAAAGTAGTCTATTATAACTTTATTGAGCCCAGCTGGTAAAAACTTATATATGGAAAAATGTTTAAGGAGTTAAAGAATAATGCTACATGTGTTCTAACCAACTACATAGGGTAGATGTCGCCCCCATGTGTGCTGCATGCCTTGCCCATCTTAACCGCATGGATTTGATCATCCTAATAATATCTGTTGAACAGTACAGATTATGAAGTTTCTCTTTATGCAATTATCTCCAGCCTCCTTTCACTTCAACCTTCTTTATGTCCAAATATTCTTGTTAAAACTATTCTGAAACACCCCCAATATATATTCTTCCCTTAGTGTGAGGAACCAGATTTTACACCATACAAAATAACAAGTAAATTTGTAGTTTTGTATATTTATAATCTTTAAATTTTTAGATAGCACGTGAGGAGATGAAATATTCTAAACTCCATGGTAGCAAGCATTCCCATATTTAGTCTCCTTTTCATTTAATCTTGGGTGCAATTTTGATTTATCATCACTCCCAAATATTTTAATTTTGACACGTTTTTAAATGATTTATTAGCTACCTTTATATAAATGATATTGGCCTATAGCCTGGTGGTGAGATATGAACATATACTTACATGGCTGTCTTTTGGGTTGTAGCACCATGTAATCTGGTAGAAGTTTACCAACATCCATCATCAGGATGATGATCACCCTAATGATGGAGGCAGCAACAACATCTGAAATACTGGTAAAATTCTACCAGACTACACAGTACTACAACCCAGAAGACAACCATCTTTGTACTCACCGCTGTGAGAACCTCAAATCCAACATATACCTAATTTTCACTAATTTACTTCCAGACAAACTTCCTTACTTGCATCTAATATAGTTTTTATGATTGTCTCTATTATATTTACACATCTTAACCTAATAAACTAATTTCATCAGTATAGACCAGAAACTGATATGTTCATTCAATTCTAATCCTTTGTGTTTTAGACCTTCCTGATGGTGTATTCTTAAGCAAAGTTTAAAAGCAATGGTGATAAATCATCTTGTTTAAGACCATTATGAATAGGAAATGCATCAGATAACTGTTTTTCCTATATAGACTTTACTGGAAGTTTAATTTAAACACGTTTCATTTAGCCTGACTAGTTTAATTGGTTTTCTGAATAACTTAGAATGTTTTTAACATTCCTGTCGTAACTGAATCATGTTTTTTCTTGAAGTCTATTAATAGCTGACATACTGTCCTGATGTACTCCCATTTTTTTCTCCAGTGTCTTATGAATGCAAAATATCTGAGCAGTAGTTATGTCACAGTCCACACTGATGATTACCAGCAGTTTTGTAGCAGCATTATGTATGGATTTAATCTTTACAGAAGAACATTGGATAAAGTTTTGTGTGTGGAAAACAAAACATTTCAAGCCACAAATTTTCAGGTTGTGGCATAGGCAGAAAAGATCTAACATACGTAACAGTTCTGAATGATTTGAGAGATATCAAATTAAATGTTAAGATGATTTTTCTTGCTGAATTAGGAGGGACAGTGGTATAGGAAATTGTGTACTATTTTAAGATATCATGACATTTTCTTACAAAGACTAAGAGAAATCACAAATAACATATATCAGAAGTCATTTTTCTGGTTGAAATTTGAACTGGGTGCCTCCTAAATAAATATCATATGTATTATCACAGATGCTCAGTTAGGAAATGTAATTAAAAATGAATATTAAAGTTGAGAGAAAGACATAATGTGGACCCAAGAGAAGGTTGGGTGTGAAGGTATGGATTTTATTTAACTGGCTCAGGATAGGTTTGAATGCCATGATATTTTGCCTTCATATTCCATAATAACGGATTGTTAATCAGTTGAATAAATATCACTTGTGTGGGAAAGACTGTGAGTTAGGCAGTTAGTTGTTTAAAATTTGTTAATTGTCATTTTAACCCCGTTTTGTGTATTGCCAAAGACTGACAAGGAAAAGTTAAGCCTGAAAGCGTTACCTGAATATTAACACCAGGATTTAAAATTTACAGCTTTCTTTACATTTGAAATTTGTTAATTGTGATTTTTTACCTCCTTTAGTGTATTGTCAAAGACTGACATGGAAAAGATGAGCCTGAAAACATTACCTGCATGTTATCGCCAAGGTTTAAAACTTCCAACTTCCTATGCTAAGACACCTGTAGATGCTGCACGTAAACCTGAAGATGTTCTTCCTTATATTCCAGGTAAGTACTGGAAATGTTTTATACATCAACGAGCACTCCTGACAACTGAATAAATTCAGAATGTCTGTTGTTATTGTCATCCAGTATTATGCAGCTATTAACCAAGTTATTCACTATATTGTGCCTCAGTAATTTTTACTAGTTGTTCAGTTTTTAATGATCTTAACATTACTTCATTTTAAACTTAGAGACATCATGTACAATTGATTCACTTGCATATGACATGCTTTCTTCATGCTTGTTGTATGTGATTAAGTAAATGGCTCTGGGCTGGATGTTTAGGTTCACTTTCTAACAGGAACAGAGATTATTCTAATGTCCAGAATGAACCTTTGGGCCTACCCAGCTTCCTATCCATCAAGTACCAGAGGCTCTTTTACCAGTGGTAAATAATCCATACCATTTATTTCCACCAAGTGCCATTTTCTGGAATGCATAGCTAATTACCTTCCTACCCACATATGCTTGTGGTATTACTTTTTTTTTTAGTCCAGTAATAGTGACAAGGTACTTTGTAAGAACTGGATAGATGGCTCTGGCAGTCAAATTGGGTGTGAGTAGAAATTGTGCAGAGTCAATGGGTCGGTCACTCACTACTCATAAATGCACACTTCAAGACCAGGAAACCTCTCAGGAAGCCAAGACCCAGAAAGGGTTGTAGCGCAACTGATGATGACTTTGTAAGAACCTGTGATAGGGTATAATGTGGATATTAAAATGGAAAATACGTATATTTATTGTACTGTCAACTTCTTCCTTGCAAAATATTGGTCTGTGTTTAGCCATTTCAAACTGTGCAAACTCTTTCCAGTTATTTCCAGATAATCAGTCTGGTTATATGTATGTGTAGTCGTTTAAGTAATTTATATTTCTTGCAGTACCAGTTACTGCTTATAATCCATAGCTTGGTATGTCTTGACTGTCATCTCTGTGAACTTGCACCAATTTATTTTTGTAGTTTTGTTCTGCTAGCTTTTGAGATATTTCATGCAAAAGAGACAGGTTCTGCCATATCTGATCGCTTTCATTTAGTTGTCTGTGTACCATGAGAAGGCATTAATGGGGAAACACTTCCCAGTTTATCATACTCAGGAATGCTTTAATAACCCAGGTTAGAGAGGCACTACCCTCCCTCTGGTGTCTGTAAACAGAGAAAGTCCATTATTATACTTTATAAAATCTGGGAAAATGCACATTGTCATATTTTAATGATGATCATCAGCACTATTCCATGATGACAGCAAGATTGTTGTCTTAATTTAACATTATTTTACTTGAATGGTCCTATTTTGAGATTTATAACAGTGCATTTATAAATAAAACCCAAATACTATTTCTGCATGAAAGTAGTTTATTTCCTTGAAGATGGCTGTCTTCTGGGTTGTTGCGCCATGTAATCTGGTAGGAGTATACCGACGTTTCAGAGGTCCTTGCTGCCTCTATCATCAGGACAATGACTCAAGCAAGGACCTCTGAAATATCAGTAAACGTCTACCAGACTGCATGGCACAACAACCTAGAAGACAGCCATCTTCATACTCACTGCCATGAAAACCTTAAATCCCAATTTATTTCCTTCTTTATTTATATTTCATGATTTTTAACAGCACATAAAATGTAGTAAAAATCTGTTATTATGATGATGTATCAGCTGCTAAGGAATGTAACATAAAATGAGGTATGGTGCAAGGAGGAGGATGATGACTTGGAATGGATGTGTGAGGAAATGAATGTAATCTCTCTGGAGATGTTATGCAATTTTCCTGGATCACCAGGGGAAAAGTATGAAAATACTCAGGTTAACTGGTCTGCAGCCAGGATTAGAAAGGCTGCCTCCCAATAGCAGGTCTGTTGCGTTACGTTACTGTGACTCTTCGCTTAACCTTTATCTTGCTTGTGTCACATCTTACAAGTAGTTTGACCTTTACATTCATCACCCTAGCCTGCTGCCAAACTGTTAACCATGGATGTAAGTCTGCCCAATAGGCCTGTAGTATGAGGTATTAAATCACGTTTCACATATGATAGAAGTTAACCATATGACAAGTATGATTCAGAAGAATGTGGTAAAATTAAATGTATCCTGTCATGCTTAACACATTAATATATAGTATATATAAGACATTTAAATTATCTCGTCTGCTGGTATCAGGATACAGTAGATTTAAATGACACACAGGACTAAATTACTGTATATTTCTAAAAGATGGATGTAGTTTTCATAGAATGAATGTAATGTAACATCACAGCCCTCCGAGAATGTATAAAGTATATTTATACTAACAACTAAACTTTATTGTGGTTAGGTGAATGCTGGGTACAACTGCTGAAGAACACAAAGCCTGATACTTTGAATGCAGCTGGTGACATGCTGGTTGGGTGGCTCAGTGTTGAATTGACATTGTATCGGATTGGAATGTATAGAACAGCTGCTGCACGTGGAGAACCAGCTAATTACTCTTACCTTCAGCATCGCAGCATATGTCGTGGCATTACTGACTATCTGCAGAGATCATCCCAGGGAACTTTAGACCCTTCCAAAATTCCAGTGGTTAGGCAGTGTCTGAGAATTCTAAGTCACAATTATCCAAGGACTCTTCCTCCGCTTAGCTGGACTTTCTTGCAAGAGTTTCTTCAAGAACCAGAACTTTGCCATTATAGCCTTACCATTGCAACAAAACAGGCATTAATATCTGAATCAGCTAGAAGAATAATAGAGAAATATCTCAATGGTTTTGACCCAAGTACAAAGAATGTAAGTGGCATTGTAGTTATTGGATATATTTAATCATAAAGTGAAAAGTGACTCTCATCTTGTAGTAACCACATACAAAATATAACAAAAGCCCATTCTTATTGCAATGTCTCTGAAATGGCAAATATGAAATCAAAAGGTATGTACATAATTTATGCACAGGATGTACTCATGAAACATACATTTTACTATAACATTGCTCGTGAACCAGAAGACACGAGAATGAAAAGTAAATCCATTTCATTGTGTATATGGTCAAATTTATAATTCATGTCACTTGCTTTTCCATATAGTTGCACCTGAAACACAATAATTTAACAATTATTGAAATGTTAAGCTAAATGTGTGCAGTGGTTTCACAAGTCTAGGTCTGTGGTTACAGTGCTCAGGTGGATACATTTCATGTGGCTTTTGTCCGCAATCCACTCAAAACAACCAAGCGTGCTGCCTGATGATTAAACATGTCACACACAACAGAGCACAAAATTCTGCTGAAAGCTTTGAAATTTAAAAGCTATAAGTACCAAGAAGATGGCTGTTGTCTGGGTTGCTGTGCCGTGTAGTCTGATAGAAGTTTACTGACGTTACAGAGGTCCTTGCTGCCTCTATCATCATGGCAATGAATAAGTTGTGTGAGTGGAAAGTGCTAGAGTTATAGGGACCGGACATTTAAGGAGTAGCCTAACCCCAACCAGTTGGGACTGATGTCAGAATCAGGTGAGGGCGTGGGAAGCAATAGGAGTGTGGGCATGTCGCAGCATGTGCGAGACAGACAGAGAGAAGGAAAAGTAAGTACCAACTTTTTCAGCATGTACCCACCAAAGAAAAAGAAGTTTACTACACACATTGCTCTGACTTTCTTTCAAGATTTTAAGATGACAGAATTTTTCAGACAAAATTGTCTTCATTGAAGCCAAATTCCATTTGTTGGGAAATGTTAAGGAAAAGAGATGGTAGTTTCTAAAATTATATTTGACTTTCTTAACAACACGTGAACTAGAGTTGAATGGTATATCTGCTAGACTACTTATGGTGCCCTCATTGAACATTTGTAAAATGTGGGCCACAAAAACTTGATTATATAACCTAGGCAAATGCATTTAATTTACATTTCTTTGACTTTTAGTTCATGAGCAATGCTATAGTGAAATGGTATACATTTCATGTGTGCACCCGGTATGTTACAAGCACAGAATAATTGAATGCAGTGTCCAATGAAATGAGGATAAAATGAACATTGAGCTTACAAAAATATCATATTCACAAAATATTTTTGGTTTCATATCTAGCTTCTTATAAAATTGACAAACTGTTTTTTAACACTTGATAGTAATTCAGCTGTCAAGAAAGTCTCTGTTTTGGAACCTGAGAGTTTACTATGAAAACAAAAGTCTTCATTTGACACCTATCTTTTACCACTGTCTCCACATTCAACAAATGAAACTACAGTTTAACACTAAACCTAAACTAACTGAATCTTTTTATTGATATGGCATTTCCTTCACACTGGACTTTATGATAGGTCCATGACTTGGTTTTTTGAAATTAAGCTGTGAAATTTCATCCACATCTAATGTTATGATTATGACATAAGGTTCAGTCAATATACTCATTTATTGGAATGAAATGCATTGCTTTGAAGTGGGGTTATTGTAAGTCTTTCAAGTATCTGATGTTCCTAAAGGGACCATCATATGTAATTTTAAATAATGCATGAGGTGCATAAAGTGCACAAAAACTTTGGTCATCCCTTAGCCGAGTGTGTTTGGGTCCAGCTAGTCTCTGTGACATTCAGTGTTTGGAGGAGAATGTTGTCAGAGTGTGTCAGCCATGTGGGAATTGTGGAACAGAAGTTATTTTTCATCATCAACAGCTACAAGGATTGCACCTATTGTTCCATTCCAGGACAGTTGGTTAAGCCAACTTGTCCTTATTGGTCTTGTGGGGTGCATTTAAGTAGCGAGTGACAAGCTCACTGCCTCTGTACAATTTCTACTCAATCCTGATTTGTTCGCTAGAGCCATCTAGGAGAGAATCAGGAGAGACATGGTTGAGAAATGGCCGCTGAATTATGCTTATGAAACATCTTGTATCATGCTAGTAAGGTTCTTTTACGTGCCGTAAATCTACGACGTGGGACCGCCGGCTTTACTTCCCCTCCACTTGAATACTTCAGTTCTAGTGTAACTGACATATGTCACATTGTGAATTTTTGTTTTTCTTCCTATTCTCCTTTCATGCCATTAAGTGGAACTGCTTTATATTTTACCCAGAATGTGCTGTATAGTCTGAAGTGATGAAGTACTTGGATAGACAATTTCTTTACTGTCTTCTGGGATGTTGCACCATGTAGTCTGATAGAAGAGGATGAGGTAGAGGACGCTAGTAGTACCTCTGAAATGTTGATAAACTTCTACCAGACTGCATGGTGGAACATCTCAGAAGACAACTGTGTTCATACTTGCTGCTGCGAGAACCTGACATCTCAACAAACTTTTCTTTGTTATTGTTACTAGCCTTGTTCTTGAGTAAACAAAATGTGCAGGGAGCTTTCTGTTTTACACTGGCCGTTGTGCCTTTTCTGAACAAGTCACGAATGTCAAAATTAAACTTCACAATGTTAATAAAGAAAAGAAATTTGCACTAGACACTGATTCCAATTAAGAGAGGAAGGTGAGTGATGTGAATGATGGTGGAACAAGGAGAGTAAGAACAGGATGAGCCACAACCTGTGACAGGTGTTGGTGGGGACTTGAACTGGGGACCACCACAAGGAAGAAGGAGCATTCACATATTTACTTGAGCCCTCAAGGTTTTAAAGAAAAGTTAGACCCTTTCTAACAAAAATAGCACACCTCTACACTCTACACCAGGGGTCGTCAACCTTTTTATACCTACTGCCCACTTTTGTATCTTTGTTGATGGTAAAATGTCCATACCGCCAACCGGTGCCGTACGTACTGCCCACCACCATGAAAGAGGCACAGCTCGAAGACTGAGTGATGGCCGGTGGTAAACCCCGCCGTCGTTATGCGCACTAAACTCGTGCCTTTGGCTACGGATGCTCCCTCATCCACGAGTATACTTCGAGAAGTGTCCAGTGAATTATTATCTATATTTAAAGTTTAGAGATGGAATTGCAAAAGCATATTTTAAAAAGTCAAACTCGCGAAGTTGTTATATATATGATATATGAAGGAAGAACCAAATTTGTAACAATGGACAAAAACCCACACTGCCCACATGAAAGCTTGAATCGCCTACTAGTGGGCGGTAGATACCAGGTTGACGACCCCTGCTCTACAGTGTTGATCTAAATGCATACTCAAAGGGTTAAAATTCTACCGAAATTTTCATGCAGATACAGTTTTTATGTATGTCAATATACTACAATAAGTTGTAAGACATGACATTTTTCTTTTAATTTTCATTCTAACAGATATTTTTGCAAATCAGTTGATGTTTACTAAAATTTATGTTAAAACATTTCACTGTGTACTCTTGCTTTTAGAACCAGTCATCCTTGTATTGATGGTATTTATTATCTTAATCTGTGTAGTATGTGAGGATGAGTCATTTCACTGACATTGGTTTGGAAAATTATCACAGTTGTCACTGCTTACAAATTGTACATGGTTCCTCCAGTCATATACTTCAGTAATTGTTTTATTCTGTGTGATCACAAGCAGCCAGGCAGTCTTGCTGATACATTGATACAGCGCTGAATTAATTTATATAACATAACAGTCCAGTTCATTTGCTTTCTTATTATTGCAGGAGGAAATAATAAGACACTTGTTTGACCAGCTTGATGATCTCTGTAAAGGCGTCCCTCCTAATAGTTTAAGGCCTTTTATTGAAAAGTCATTGAATCTGGCTATTGAAGTCTCACAGGTTCATGAAGGTAAGTGAATTTAAGTTGTAGAAGTTAATTTATGGCTTATTTGATAGTTGATAACACTTTTATGGATATAGTGTTGATTGAATTATAGGAGATGAACAGAAAACCATGCTGAAAGAGCTGCTGTCTCAGATAAAGACAACTCTGAAGAAAGATGATATCCATGATGCAAATAGAACAGTGCTGTCAATTCTAGTTGAGGAATTGCTACAGAAGTTTGATGCTAACAATAAAGTAAGTATACAACAGTCGAGTTTCCATTTTCAGAAAACAGTTATTTTCTGTCTTTGAGCTGAACATTTGCTGCACATAGTTTAAAGATTTTGTCTGTTGCTGATTGTGAAAATTATGGAGCCGTTATATGGCACTTTATTCATTGAGGGTGCTGTTCGTTTTGAACTTGGATTGTTACGAAAGGAGCATAAAAAATCTCATGCCAAGCACAAAGAAGTCATTATTTTAAAACTAGTGTAAAAATCTGTTGAAATTTAATAGGAATTGATTTCTTTAACTTTCATCCCTCAATCTCCTTTTCCCTTTCCTTTGTATGTTTTATGTCTTCTCTCCCTTATTTCTTTCTCATTTCTTCAGTTTGTCACTCATATCATCAATCTTTTCCCCACTTCTTCCCGTCCTTTACTCAAATTCTCCAAAACACGTAATTGTGAAAAGTAATGAAAAATAAGCTATGTGTTACATTACAGAGTGCTATCTAGCATAAAAGCATTAAACTGTGTTTTATATAATAGTGCAGATGCTCTAACGTTAATATGTGCTTCTATGCTTGTTTTACTACAATCAACTTTCCTGTTCAGAATGGGTAAAATGTGCTGTGCTATGTATGGATTGATCTCCAAATTCAAAATAGCACTTGGACTCATCACATTTTGAAGCATTCATCTTGCTGTATTGTGAGAAGTCTGGCAAAACATCCATCAAATAAACCCCCATAACTGTTCTTATCCATACATTTTTTGCATCTGGAGTGTAATGTAAAACATTGACTTTCAGGAATGAGCCATGTCACATGTTGAAAATTATCCGTTTTGAAAAACATTGCAGTTGCCATCTAAAAGGTGGAAATGTTAGTTGGGCATTTTTTAGGTCCTACATAGGACAGGCAGTAGGTTGTGAAAGTGATGTGACAAATCTGATTGGCAGAGTGGGAGACTCCAATTCATGTTGTGCATTTGGTTGAGGAAAAGGGGTGATGGAAAGTTTCTTTTAAGGGACGTGTGGTGAGGGGAAGAGGTGACAGAGGAAGTTTTGATGACCACGAGAATGAGGAATGGAGGTGGCAGAAGGATTTTAATGATTGTGTGGATGGGCCACTAGGTTGCAAGAAGAGATAACAAGAAGTTTTTTCACATTCGTGTAAAGTGGAAAGAAGTGATGAGAACATTGTTCAAATCCAACAAAATTATACAACCCCTGACTTAGAAATCAGGTTTGTACAAGATCCCCTGTTCTTGTAGTAAGGTGTACATTGGCCAAAGAGGTCATCACTTCTCTGATAGGTTCTAAGAACACATCAGAGACACCAGACTAGAGAACCAGCTGTCAGTAGTAGCTTAACATTCTGCAGCAAGTAAACTTGGCATTGACTTCGACAAAACATGCTATATCCAGCATCTATGCTTGCTGTCTACACATAATCAGGGAATAAATTGAATTAACTAATTATCTCCATAACTTAAACCATGAAGATGGTTACAGATTAAGCAAAGCCTTGCTTTACCTGTTTTCTTCCGGTTTGCCAACCCAACCACTTCTTTCCTTAAATAATGACTGAACCTTCCTTCCTATTCATATCAAAGATATTCTCATCACTCCTATTGACTTCACATGATCTCTGAAAACTCCTTTTGTCATCTCTTCTCATACCACCTGGTCATAAAAAGGTCCGCTCTTTGTCACCTCTTCTCCCAACCTTGTGGCCCATCCAAGTAATTGCTTAAATCCTTTTTCCACCTCTTTTTCTATTTATAGTTTATTTAATGATGCATTCAGTATCTCAGACTGTATAGTGTCAATTAAGTGGATGATAGTGAATAATTAATTGGAAAAGATGTGGTAGGAAGCGGTCTTGGCCTAATTGAAGGTACTGTCCTGGAATTTTTCTGCAAGTTTTGTCTTGAAAGCATGATTTTTCTATTGTTTTTCATCAAGTTTTTCATATACGCTTCTAAACGTTTGGGAGAGGAGCCACATATAAAATCTGATATGACTAGGTGCCTTAGAGTGAATTTCCATTCTTCCTTGAAAGAGCCCCTTTAGGGCCACTCCTTTTTTCCCCACTGTTTCCCATTGGTTATCCTTTCTATGTACTAACCCACCTCACTACTTAATTTACTGTTACCCAGAAGAGGAGGTAATAGGTCCCTACGTAATGTTGGTATAATCAACAACAAGATTACACATGATAACTGAAAAGACTGCAATTTAAATATCACAGATTTTTGAATCGGCTTAAAATAGACAATTTACATAACATGTATTACTCATAGATATTTGGCTTCTCTTTCAGTTCTTTGATGCATATGTCGACTGTGTAACTGAGCTAACATCAAAATATTTGGAACGTATGAGCTCTCCATCATCATGGTGGGAGGTAACTCCTGACAAACTAAGACAATCTCTTGGAATTCGCAGTGCTTTAGCACGTAAAGCTGATTCTGAAGTTCCATTGGTATGGCTGAATGAATGTATTGATGCAACTTTAAACCTTGTGGCGTAAGTATAAGAAAAGCCTCTTTTCTGGAACCAGGTAGGCACAAGACTACAGGTGGGTCGAAAGAATGGGGATGCACAAAAGATTAGCTAATGATTGTAGTGCATGGGTCACTCTGATCCCCACCCTATTCTCATATATAAGAGAAACCTGTAGGTTCATCTGTGCAAGCTACCCTGAAGTTGGAGGCAGTACATTCCTCCAGAACATCTGTATCTCCCTCCAACTTCACATGATGTTACAACCCAGAAGACAAACATTGATTCCAAGAGAATAGAATTTATTTGTTCTGTGCGCACAGTAAATAAAATCATTATGGAAAGTCATTACCTGTATGCCCAATCTCCAAAACTACTAGATGGATTTTGATAACATGTGGTACTGATGGTTTCAACTGAAGTTGTCAGAACACAACTTTAGTCTTTAGGGGAGATCATAAACCTCATTGTAAGATTTGAGGTTTTCACAGCCGTGAGTATGAAGATTTCTGTCTTCTGGGTTGTTGCGCTGTGTAGTATGGTAGATGTTTACCAACATTTCAGAGGTCATACTGCCTCCACCATCAGGGTGATGAATGAGCCAATTGAGTGGAGAGGGCTAGGTTTATAAACCTCATTCATCGCCCTGATGATGGACCTCTGGAATGTTTGTGAACATTATCAGATTTGGAACACAGTACTGGTATCAAGTCTAACATGTTCCCACCCACCATATGAACAGAGAAGTTGTACTTTGAAGTGACAATTGGAAAGTGCTTCAGAGGGCACAATTTGCTTTCTTTCTTTTATTCAAGCAGGGAAATAAATTGACATATTATTTTTAAATGAATTGTTTCAATTTTGTAAATATAAACGATCACAATAATAAAAGTGACATGAAACTAAAAACATGGTGTCTCAGAAGCAGTGGTTAATCTGGAAAGAAAGAAAAAATATTTCTGTCTTCTGGATTGTTGTGCCGTGTAGTATGGTAGATGTTTACCAACGTTTCAGAGGTCATATTGCCTCCGTCATCAGGGCAATGAATGATCCAATTGAGTGGAAAGGGTTAAGTTTATAGGAACTGGACAGTGAATGGAGTAGCCTAATCCTAGCCAATGGGAGCAGGTGTCAAATCAGGCTTGGGTGGGGACCATTAGGAGAGGGTGGGCGCTACTCCATTCACTGTCCAGTTCCTATAAACTTAACCCTTTCCACTCAATTGGATCATTCATTGCCCTGATGACGGAGGCAATATGACCTCTGAAACGTTGGTAAACATCGACCAGACTACACAGCGCAACAACCCAGAAGACAGAAATCTTCAGACTTACCGCTGTGAAAACCTCAGATCCTACAAAAAATAAAAAAACTTTCTCTTCCACGTGATTCTCTTAAGTACTGGACTACAGCCTTAAATCACTCTGTATAATCCCTACTTGATAGAAAGTTCAGATTTAATATCTTTCTCTCAAAAATGGCTCATTACACAAAATAACCCTGGCACTTAATAGAATGTAAAGCTCTTATTTAAATATCTTTGCTTTAAACGTTTTTTTGTGTGCAGAATATTTAATGAAACATAAGAACAATTTTATTCAAGACTATACATTGCCATATGAACCAGATAGTGTAATAAGTTGTGTACCAGTAGATTTATGTCTGCAGTAAATAATCATCAAGACAAATGTGGTATGCAGAACTGCCTAGAATGCATTCAGAAAATTTGTGTGCTCCAGATTCATGTACATCTCTTTACTTCTATTTCTGTATTTTTATCCATGAATCAGTTTCTCAGTGGAGAAATTTTGTTTTTATTTGTGGTTTACAATAAGAAATCGTCTGATTTTATTCTTTATTTAGGGACACTAAATGCCCATTTTCTTATTCTGCAGTGAACACACTAGTGTATTGCAGTGCATGGCATCAGTGCTGAGTTGTGTTCGAGAGCATGAAACAAATTGTCGCTGGTTAATGGAGCTCTTAGGACGGATTCAGAATGTAATTAATAAGAAAACAGATTCAGATAATCAGCAGGTGAGTAGAACAACAATCATACTGACTCAGTAATTGATAACTGCCAGTTTTAAATTCTCAGCTGTTAAAAACTAAAGTTTACAAGAAAAATGAAACAGTGATAGTATAGTAGTTCGTTCAGTGCAAAAGACCAAAGGTGAAACTAATTTTTAATTTTGTTTTATTGTTATGAGATCCTTTTTCTCTTCAGTATCTAATTTTTGTTTGGTTTACGTGATTGGTTTGTCCATCTGTACAAACATGCCTTTTGATTTCTGATGAAGAGATTGGATTTATTATTAGGGGAAAATGCTGAACATTATTGTTTTACACTACCATAGAACTTGATTATAACCAGTTTTTCTCCATTCTGATATTTGCAACTGAATACACAACATAGAATAAAATGTTGATAGAGTGAATACCATTTAAACAATAATGTAATTGTAGTTACAAAATTACCAGTCTCCTCCAGGATGTGCATATATAAAAGTATTTATTCCTGTACTTTATGGAGTATGCCTGTATTGTTGCTACTAATCTCATCCTTGGTGTTTCAGTATTTCTTTTGCATCGAGTAATTTCCTTTAAGTTACAGAGCTTGTGAATAATATCTATTTGAATATCCTTTGAGATGTCACAACATAAGTCCAGTGATGTGTAATCATAGGGTTCTACTCTTGTTCACACAAAAAATTTTCACCCTGTTTTTGATGATGACTGTACAAGGGAATCTTGTTATGTCCCAAGATACTGGGTCCTTGGTGAAATTTTGGAAGTCTAAGTTCAAAGAACACCACAAACCTAAATAATTTCATATCAGATATTAAAAATTCTGTATAATTTTAAGTAATTATCAATTCACATTCAAGAACACTATAGAAGGTGTGTGAATTTGCTAAAAGGTAGCAAATATGAGGACCAGAGTATTAAAATTTAGAGGAGGAATTTTAAGAATGGTTATGACATGGTTGTGCAAGTACGAGGGTGAGTCAAATGAAAACCGTATTTTTTTTTAAATTTAATTTATTGAATGAAAGCGGTACACAACTATATCATTTTTCTACATAGTCTCCATTTCGTTCAAGACAGGCCCTCCAGCATTTACGAAGTGTATGGATTCCTCTAGAAAAAAATTCATGTGGTTGTCTGCGCAACCACTCATGAACCACCTGCTGTAGCTCTTCATCAGAACGGAACTTTTTTCCTCCCATCGCCTCTTTGAGTGGCCCAAACATGTGGTAATCACTTGGGGCTAGGTCTGGTGAGTATGGCAGATGTGGAAGACACTCAAAGTGCAAGTCTTGGATTGTTGCAACTGTTGCACGGGCAGTATGGGGCCGAGCATTGTCATGTTGCAAAAGGACACCTCTAGTCAAAATTCCACGTCGCTTTGATCTGACTGCAGGTCGAAGATGATTCTTCAAGAGATCTGAATATGAGGCACTGGTGATAGTGTTCCCCCGAGGTGTGTAATGCTCCAAGAGTACGCCTCGTTCATCCCAAAAGAGAGTCAGCATAATCTTCCCTGCAGATGCTGCTTCCGGAAGTTCTTGGGTTTTGGTGATGAGGAATGATGCCATTGCTTGCTCGTTCTCTTTGTTTACGGTTGGTGGTAGTGCAACATGAAAATGCAGACAACCACAAGAATTTTTTTCTAGAGGAATCCATACACTTCGTAAACGCTGGAGGGCCTGTATTGAACGAAATGTAGACTATGTAGAAAAATGATATAGTTGTGTACCGCTTTCATTCAATAAATTAAATTTAAAAAAAATTTACAGTTTTCATTTGACTCACTCTCGTAGTATTCCTATGAACCTTTAACAGCCAAAAGGAACATATGTCCTGTTAGCCAGTGTACGTAGTTGGCCAAATGGGGCTATTTTATTCTACTACATTATGATATTGTTAAAACTTTTATGCAGTAAAAAAACCAGCATTGTGTGAATTAGATGCTTCAAAGGTATTATTCGTTGTGAGAGATTCATAATTGAATCACTGACTTTAAGTGGTGTGTTTTCTTATTAACATATCCCTGAAAATTTGTAAATACTGTGGAATATTTAAAGTAATTTTTTCTAAGAAGCTGTCCTTTCTATGTTGGCCCGTAAAGTGTCAAAATCAGACAGAAATATCTAAAGATGCTTCAAAATATCCATTCTTATATCACTGTCCCCCTTCATAGAATCCACACTTCCTTTTTCTTGTTATTTCATCAAGGTATTAGTTTCCTGTGAGGGTACCGATGGTTTGGCTGTATACTTAAAGGAATGATGTTTGATCTGCTCTGCTTAAAATATCTATGAGCGTTTTAGATTGTCATATATCTTATTGGAAAAAACCCAACCCCTTTGAGAAGATACATATGTTATGTCAAGAAGCTGTATCACATTGAAAATGTATAGAAATCACTACAGTTTATTGCTATTTCTAGACAGGTTATACAGCACTTTCTTGTGGTTTTGTCATTCGTACACTTTAGTCAAGTCATCCCTCACCCCTGTATAAATGTCACTCTGTTTCATTTTGAGTTTCTTTCTGTGAACATCCTGTGGCATTCCTTATTAGTTATGTTTCACAGGACCACAACATTGCATTTAGTCAATAGAGAATGATAAATTATCAATATGCTCAGTTATGTTTCACAGGACCACAACATAGAGAATGATAAATTATCAATATGCTATACAAATCCTGGTCACTGTTGTTGTGTCACTGTTGCATTTGCAGTTATTTTCAACTTTTATATTATATAAATATCTATTTGAGTCACATAGTTTTGTTTTCTTTAGTATATAGTATCTGAAAACTACTCTTTTAATGACCTTGATCGCTGTTAAATTTTCAACCAGTTATATTTAGTACACAAACCATTGACATTCACATCACTTCCAAAACCTGTCATACCTTTCATCTCGTCATATGTTTCTTGTCTACTGAAGAACTCTCAGTACCAAAAAAAATCATTCTTCTGTAAGAGGGCATAGAAAGCTGTTCTAGTATGGACCAAATCTTTGATCGTGCTCTATCTGTACAAATAAAAGTGTATTTTCTGTATAGAGATATCAGTGAACTTGAAAGGACTGGGTGGAAAGCAGTTATGGTTTATTTCTAGGTATTACCCAATCATTCATCTGATGTGACTGATGAAAACTATGAAAATCTTCCTTAGTCAAGGCATTATCTAACATACCACCTGAATACAAGTCCATATTGTTACCACTTGAGCAGTCTTGCTTGGCTCAGTATTAGAAGACTTTATTCCTTTATTTTTATATGCTTACCTATTCCCAAAGCAGTTGAAACAAGAACTGATCTTTCTTTTTGTGCTACATAAATAATTATTTTGTTCTACTGATTCCTCTGTCCAGGAGGGCATAACATAACACTGTGTTTAGACTGGCTTTCACTGTGAAACAATTTTGATATATGATTAGCTTGAACTAAGGTTATCAGAACCAAAATGGCACAAACACACTTCTAAGTCTACATGAGTTATACTACATTTCCTCTTTGGATTACCAGTCATTCATATTAATTCTCAGATAATGATGTGTGTTAATCAGTGCACTGACAAAGAATTCTGAGAACAGAAACAAGGGCTTGCATTGAAACAGCTGTTGAAACCTTGGCCATTTGTGTTTGTTGTACAGCTGTGAGTTTGAAGTGTGCAAGTTGATTTTATTACAAAAAAGATTACATCATTCTAAAGCTGTGTGTGTGTTAATAACTTTCTGTCAATCTTGACTCATCAGTTTTCCACTATTTCAAAGACTGGACAAGAATGTGGAAACAAACTAGAAAAGGTCTGATTATTTTGACACCTCAGTGGTGAAATTGATTCGTCATTAGTAGTCTGTGATTTATATTAAGATTCTGGGTCAAAAAATTGCAATGAATAGGCTACAGTTTATTTTATGATTCATTATACTTTGAAGCATTTAAATGCTAATTTAAACTGGCTGTGAGGTTGTGACAGGAAATTTAAATTCCCGCGTTTTGAAGGTTGAAGATCCTGTTTTCCAGAACATAAAAAGTGAGCTGATGTTACTGTTATTCTGTAGATACAGTAACAGCTGAAAACTAGCACAAATATGTAAAGCTATAACTGGGAAAATACATACCAAGAGCATATTCACTGTGGATAAAGTTGTGCCACAGTATTCAACGTAACAAAACAGTGCCAATTATAAGAGAAACAGACCCTGGATAGATGGAGCATGCTGCTGTGTTGTGCTCTGGGGGAAGTCAAAAATCATGGATGATTTTTTGTTTGTTTGTTTGTTTGTCTCTAGCACTTTCAATTAACCAAGTTTTCCTGTAATTTTGTCATGGAGTTTAAAGTACACATTTTCTCTCTGGTTCTTTTATCTATCTTTACACTGTTACGCGCACATCACACAAGATGTTTCTAGCAGTTTCAGCTAGTGCAAGGAAATGGAAGGTGAACTGTCTCAGCTATATAAACAACAAGCTAGTTTAGTGTGCACAGTTGCTAAGCAACCAAGTAAGGTGAATGACAGGGAGCAAAGGAGTACAGGAAACTTCGATACACGATGTTCAGACTTCAAGAAGAGAATGGTTAATACCAATGTAGAACTGAGAAATAGGCTAACAATCAAGATTTGTGATTGACAGCCATAGGTACTGCACTCAAGAAGATAATTATCTATAAATATAATGCTAATAATAAATCCATGATTCAAAAAACCAAAGTTACTAACAATCTAAGAATATGGGGAGGTTACATTTATTTGTGTTATTCCAGATCTTCCATCTTCAAGGATTAACATGCTACCAGGTCTTCAGATACAGATTTGTGTATATTAATCTGAACTGATTGTTTTTTATACTGGAATTGTTAATTTGATATGACATCCTGTGACCAATGTTCCTATTATTTACCAACATGACTCAGCCTGGAGATTGGCTATCCTGATTGATGTTTTTCTCAGTCTCACTCCAGGTAAATGTCAGGATAGTACCTTAAATTAGGCTATGACCACTTCCTTCCACATCCTTTCTGATTTATTATATAACACCATCCTCTCATTTGATGCTATATAGTCTGAGCTACTGAGATTTCAGTCAAACATGAAGTATCACTGTGGCTAAGTCTCACAGATCATATCATTGTTTTGTCAGCTACCAATTTACACTGCTGCCTTCCATTCACTTCTCTTTTCCACAGTGTTTTATTGTATTTGTCTTTGGGTCAGTTTTCTTATCACTTGATTATGGCAACACAATCTTTAGGTTATCTTAACATTTCCATTTATGAAGCTCCTCTGGTCAATGCATTGCTTTCCATTCATACTTCACCCAATCTTCATTTCTGAAATATTTCATCAGATTTTATGCCAATTTCCTTCCTTCCTCGTTGTAAATCAGTCAAGTTTCTCAATAAACAGTTCAGCAACCTGTAGTCCACTTATGTAAGTCTACTGTAGAGGTAGGCTAAACCATATGTAGTTTGTTGCCTTAAATTTGTCTTTTGGAATCTGACTATGTAGGAGTACACCAACCATATTTAACTTTAACTTTGTTCTCAGTTTTAAAAAGTTGTGGATTAGCCCACTGTAACTCCCAGGTCAATTATTGCATCTGTAGTTAGGCAATGTAAAGGTATAGCCAGTTGCCATCTTAATGACAATATACAAACAACTGTGCAGTTCAATGCAGAACATTGAATTTCTTGATTAGTAGTTAGTATTAAGACTTGGGAAGGCCCTTGACTCAAAATCTTTGCAGAAGATAAACTATTATAAATGAGCTGTTCTTGCTTTCCTCAGACTCTCCACACAAATGCAAACATCCTTACCAACTCACAATTCATTATAATCCTGACATTCCTCATTAAATAACCCAATAAACATCAAATGATTCTTCTTTTTCTGTAGGCAATAGTTTTTCTGTTTGATGTGTTTTTGCTGACTGTGGTAATACTGTCTGGACACGACTGTTTTGCACCAACACTTGACAGCATAGCATCATCACGGGAAAGGAGATTGCTGCTGTTCCCTCAGGCTCTTCTTACACTTCTTGCAAGGACACAGTGGAAAGCAGTTGCATCACAGGTTAGTCTTTAGATATTCTTTTGCATTATTTTATAAGGTGCTATGAAATATCATGCATTTTCTTATTTATAGGTGAATCAAATTTAGCACTTCATACCAATCTGGTAGGAAGATTAGATTTCAGGCTCTCATGGCAGTGAGTATGGAGATTACTGTCTTCTGGGTTGTAGCACAGTCTAGTCTGGTATAAGTTTACAAACGTTCCAGAGGTCCTTGCTGCCTCTATCATCAAGGTGATGGTGGAGGCAGCAAGGACCTCTGAAATGTTGATAGACTTCTACCAGACTACATGGCACTAGAACCCAGGTGGCAGCAATCTACATGATAGCAAGATGTTTAATGTAATTTAAAGTTTTCATGAAATTGGGGAAATGTTTTACAAATTCAGATAAGCTAAGGTAATCAACTATGGAACTCTGCAATGTTATAACTCAGCAGACTACGATCCAAACATGTTTCATGTCAGCATGAAATGCTATGCAGTATGCATTAGACTGCTGTGGAATGTACACAGATGACAACTCCAGCTTTGTGCTTCCATCTTGTGAATAGTCTTTAAACTATAAATTCTACTTGTATGACTGGATCTATGAATTTTTTTGCTGAGTAAACAATTGTGGAAATTTGTTAATTTTAAAGGCACTGGCCAGTAAGTGGATTTACCCAGGCATATATGTGGGAATCAATTTCTTTCCTTATAAAGAGGAATGGAAGTACTGAAAAACAAGTTATTATTTTAAAATAAAGTGCAAGTTTGAAGATGGCTGTCTTCTAGGTTGTAGCCCAATGATCACCCTGATGCTGGAGGCAGCATGGACCTCTGGAAAGTTGGTATACTCCTACCAGACTACAGGGTGCTACAACTCACTGCCATGAGAACCTCAAATCCTACTCAGTGCAGTTTTGCATGTTGAAATTTAAATCATCGGTGGAAACTTGTCCTGCAGCAAATAGGGCCTAGTATTAAATCCCTTCCACACAGAAAGGGTAATTTTACTTATTAAGTATAAGATACTGCAATTGCGTCATATTGTGGTTTGTATATTAAAATATATATTAAAAGTTTACAGTCACTCACAATTATAATAATAATAAAATAGTATTAAAAGATTTAAAACATCATTAAATACACTACTAGTTTCGGCTACATTCAGCCATCGACGGGTGTATGCTGTATAAACCTATCACCATTTTTTACTGATTTATAACGTTATTCATATATCACTGTCTTCATTCTTGATGTTGTTCTTGTTCTTTACCGTTTCTTGTTTTGTTGCATTATCATTAGTTTAAGTATAGTAAATGTTATCATGATTTATGGTTTGAATATGGCAAAAAGGAATAAAATTATAACACTTTAATAGAAACTATGTGCAGTCAGTGGGCTGGTCACTCACTACTCTCACCAACACCAGAACACCCAACGGTCATTGCCGGACATGGAAATAAAAAAATAGACTATAATCAGTAACTTCATGGAAACAAAATAAGAGTGGGCAGTTTTCTGAATCATCTTCTGGCCAGGATTGTAGCACGGAATAGTGCTGGAACTGGTTGAATAGTTACCCCAAAAGAAAGAAGGTATCCCAGATTCCTATGTTCCTTATGTGGTCATTGCAATTTCTTTTGGTATGAATTTCACCTGTGACTAGAACTTTTTCCTTTCTCTACAGGAAGTAAAAATTATAATACTAAAGCTGTGTTCTGTATAATAAATATATAGATTTTGTGATATTGTGCAAATACCATAGCAATTGAACTCCTCTGTATAATTTTTTGAAGATCTATGAAGTGTGTAATAGAACTGTAATAGGCCGTAACTGCTTTTACACCACATCCATTCTGTTTCGTCATTGTAAGTAACAGAATTAATAACTAACAAGGTACTGACTGCAATTATGGGGATAACAGGATCATTATGTAGGAAAAACAAAGGACATTTTGCTGCATGTAACATATTAAATTTATTACAGTATGTTTAACTTATTATAAAAGGTCTATACAGCATTTCTTGTCAAATATTTTTATAACTTATAAAACACACCAAAACACTTGCATTCCTTTTACTACAATATATGCTTCATGTCTAAAAGACTACATGGTCCCCAAATAGGGATGAACATTTTTATGTTTCATATGTGTGCATGCACATGCGCAAACACATCATGAGATTGTGATACAATAAGATATGATTTTTTTCTGTTTGAGGTGATGGAATGGCTATACCACATGCAAAACCTCAGTGCTGTTTCACCACTGTACGCTGCTGCATTTCGTCACGGTTTAATGGCTCTACGGCATGACAGATATTTCAAGACATTATCGGTGTGGATGCGATTCATTTCCTGCAATCCAATAAAGTTCCAGTAACAGAAATTATGGAAGTTCACATACTACTGCTAAATGTAAGATTATTTAAAAAAAATGGGGTCTACAAAAGAGTTTGTACCAAATACTAACCTGCATTTTATAATGTGTTTCTTGATCAGTATTTGTCTCTTTGAGTCCACTGCAGTTACATATAAGTCACATATTGATCTGTGAGTGAAGTAACAAAAAGTTCTATGTTATTTACAGATATACATTTATGTTATAGTGATATTGTAACCATAACTTTTCTTGCATTTGGTTTTTGAAAATTCTATTCCAAAAAAGAATAAAACCTGAATAAGCCCAGTAGTTTCTTAATTCATAGTGTAATTTATTTTTCAAAGCTGAAAGTCTTCCTTTCAGAATGGAACATTTTGTTAACACCACTTATAATGCAGTGCAACAACAAACTAATGACGTAAAAACATCTTACAACAAATTCTATTAACTGCTACTTTTATCATATACAACACATTTTCCTCCAAAACCCTTTGTGCTATTTTTACAAGCTTCTCTAATGTCGTATACTCAGTATTTTTCCCTGACTTCAGAGTGTGAGTGTATATATATATATATATATATATATAAAATACTGTAAATTTGACTGATGAGACTTGTAGACACCTTTTCACTTCCCTATTACTGCCATTATTTACATCTGCCATGTATTTACAGCAATCAACTGAGAAGCCTGTTTTTCAGACACAAAATTTACCTTTCCAGTAAGACAAAGAAGTGTTACTGTGCCAGTAAAAGGTTGTACAACTCTCCTACAGATGTAAGATTTTTTTTATCATCTGAGCTGAATAACTGCCCAATATAGCTTGTGGGTTAAATGCTTCTACAGTAGCACATATCACTGGTGGCATGAAACATGTGCTTCTATAAGCATGTAGCACTCAAAGGGTTAAAATCATTACAATGGTATTTCTGCATTTAGAAGAGAATGACATAAATTACAAATTAATTCAGCCTTTAGTGATCCCTTATGAAATTATCTACTAACCTTCTATTATAGATAATTTGTGTAAATTGGGTACAAATTATTTTATTGGCATTCCTTGAGCATTATAGTGTCCATAACACAAACACCCTGCACTTGTCAGACAGAAGTCTCATTACTTTTTTCCAGAGATACTGGCAAAGAAGATGGCCTTATATCTTTTTCATTCACACACAACACTTCATCATCTGCTACTTTCCTGTCTGATCTGAGTTTGGCTTCCAAAAAGTTGCGGTACTTGTCTTGACCCCTTTTAAGAGGCGTGCGACTTGGGCTTGACTTCCGGCTGTTAGGATACGACTTCAGCAGCTTTGCCCTGAAATATAACATAGCAGTCAAAATTGATGTCCTGTATTCTACAGTGCTGTATTAATCATTTCCTTATATTGAACGCATACTTACGCATCCAACAGTTTCAAAAGCAATTTCGAGTAAACCTGATACTCCTCATCCCCAAATTCACCAGGATCATGCCGGGCATGCTCATACAGGTCACAAAACTGATGAACAAGTTTCTGGCCCAGACCATTAAGTGGTGCTGCTAGCGTTGTAAGTAGGTATGCTCGTAGATTTTCAGAAGGATGGCGCAGTAAGCAACTGTCCTGCTTTGTGATTTCTCGCTCTGAAATTAAATATGTATTTGATAACCGCCAACAATTAAAGTAGTGTCAATAAATTTATATCAGCTGTTATCCAACTGAACTATTATATTTGTATCATTATCGCCATTATTGTTTGAGGATATAGTGAATGCTTGTAAAATAAACTTATACAGAACTTAAGAAACTTAATGTTTAAGTGACATGTTATTCTGTTGTTAGCATTTACTTTCTATGATTTACCAAACTGAAGCCAATGTTTCAAAACTCTTTTGACCACAGAAGCTTTTAGCCTTACAAATAAATAGATAAATAATAAAAATACAATTTCATTCCAGACAAATTCCAAGTGCTCCTGCTTCTACTCTGTTTTTAAGTATAAGGTGCATTAGTCTCATCTAGGACATTGGATATTTTAGACTGGTTTCCAAAACAACATAGTTACTGTCAGGGCTACAGAAATGCTTACCCCTCTCATCATAGATAAAGTGAATTTTATTATGTGGCTAACAGATTTAACCTTGACAGAAATTTCTGATGTTCTGAGGCAGTTGTTGTCATAGTCGGATTTTCATCAGGACACTGTTCAAGGCTGATGATGGGCACTGCTCTTTGTTTTAACATGCTTATTCCAGAAAAGGCAAGAAAATTGTGAAATTTTGTACACTAGCCATAAGTACTTAAAAATTGGCAATGAAATTTTATATTCAATATCAGAAAACAGGTACAAATGGAATGAACAAAAGTCAAGAAGGAAAAAATTGTTTACATAAAAACAAAATTAATACTGTACTAATAATACACAGACTTTTCTCGCATCATTAAATAACAAAGTTCAGTATATAGCACAACAATATAAAATACTGATACCTGAAAATATTACTGGCCATCATTGTGTAACATAAAAGGCTCTGTGGTAAGGAAAACAATTTTGAGTCTTATAAGTTGAAATTCTTGTAATCTTTTAAACATCACATGAAGATTGTTTTCTGTTCACTACTAAGTAAAGTAAAGCTGTCCCACTATATGCCATGTAGGCACTTGGGGGGAGAGGCCATACAGCTCCTACTGATTCTTAACCTCAGCACTAGATGGGGTAAGTGGTCATCATCACGTCCCGGCCTCACTTTGCCCCCAGAGCCAGTCTTGATGCAGAGGCTAGAGGAAAAATCCACTGCCCCTGTTGGGGATCGAACCCCAATCCAGTCCGTAGCCAGTCACTATACTGACTGAGCTACCTTGGCTCATCAATATTACTATATAATAAAATTATTAAAACATGTACCTAGTAGTTTTATGTCATCAGCTGCTTTCAACCTAAAGTAATGAGGTGGCAACTCTGAGCCAGGTTGTAAAATGTAACGACAATCATCATTTATTAGTTGTGGCTCATATACAATACGTGGAATTACATCTATTCTTCGATCAACTTCTCTCTTCAATGACTGTAAAAAATACAATCATATCTACATTAAAATTGATTTCACTTTAAGTTCTGATCTGTACATCATTCAATTTAACCCCTCATTGATGTCCAATATATTTAGTATGTGAAACCCATGTATAACTGTTGGATAGATTCAGTATGTTAATAACCCTACTGAGTTTGGACATCATAGATATACTGATGAACACAAATATACAGATGCATCCCACAGACCTAGAAAGCAGAGGGCAGGGCATTTCAGAGAACAAAAAGTTCAGAAAATATCCACAAGTACATAGTTACAGAACATTTTCCAAGAACAAAATACACTACACCAGACTAAAATAATTAACATAATTATGTTATTAATAAATGCTTATCAATTTTACATTATATTTAAAGATAGCTAAAATTTCACTACCCCCAAAATACGTTTGTTACAAAAACAATATGAATATCCATATATAAGAAAATGACATTAGATTATTGTAAATGTAGAAAATTATATGCACTTATATACAACTTTTATAATTAGACACATATTGCAAGCACAAAACTATACACAACATTTAAAATCAGGTACCTTGATTATAGTCAGTTAATCAATTCTTAATTAACTACTCTTTTGCAAAACTAACAGTCTGCTCAGCTAGTCACCAAATTTCCTGTTTTTATGGAACCTGAAAGTTCACTACCATGCTTACATGGCCCTGCGACCAGCCCCATACTGAACCAGAAGAATCCAAGGCATAAACTTCAACCATGTTTCCCTGAGATCCATTTTAACATCCCTGCATCAACACCTAGATCTTCCAAGCAGTTTCTCCTCTTCAGGCTTTCCAACTAAAATTTTAAAAAAAAGTATCTTTCCCATGAAAACCACATGTTCTTCTCATTTCATTTTCATTAATTTGATCATCCTAATAATATATGATGAACAGTTCAAATTACAGAGCTCCTCATTATGCAGTTTTATCCAACCTCTTGTCATACCATTCCTCTACGGTCAAAATATTCTCTTTAGTACCCTGTTCTGGAAGACCCACAATCTGTGTTCTTGTCTTAATGTGAGAGTCCAAGTTTAACATCCATACAAAACACCAGGTGAAATTATAATTTTGCATACTAATCTTTTTTTTATGTTTTTAGATCACAAACAAGAAAACAAAATATTCTCCAATGCATTGTAGTAAGCATTCCCCCGATTTATTCTATTTTAACTTTGCCAAGAATGTAATTTTTATTTATCAGTCTTATTCCCAAACATTTGAACTCTGCCACATTTTCACAGGATTTATAAGCCACCTTTACGTAATGACTTTTCCTGTGGTCTTGTGGCAAGATATGAGCATACACTTACTGCATTTACTTCTAGACCAACTCCTTTACAAAAATTTTAATACAGTTGTTTTTGCCTGTGGTATGTATATTTTCACCCAGTAAATTTACATCATTAGCATACAGCAGTAGGTGATGTGTCTGATTCAATTCCAATCTGTCTTTTCCTTTTGTACCTTCATGCTAATATAATCCAATTGTGATATCAGGCTAATATGAATATAAAACACATCAGACATAATGTTTACTTATATTGAGTTTACTGTAGGTTTCATTTAAAAAAATTTTAATTAGCCTAACTAGTTTCATTGGTTTCCTATCACATCTTAGTCTACTGGCTGGGATTCTTTCAACATAACCTAACCATTGGAGTTGTGAAGATTTCTGTCTTCTGGGTTATTGCGC